TGAAATGTGATGATTAGTACTTGAGATATCAGTGGAAAAACCGAAAATTGACTAATCATTATGCAAATTAGGTAATTAGTATCCACGGATTATTACCAAAAACTAATCAAAACTTAGCATTAGTTCAGAGCATCTATGTACCAAGTTTCATCAAAATCCAATGAGTGGTTGTTTAGATATCAGTGGAACAGTCATGGAACCACTAAAAAATAGCTAATTATCATGCAAATTAGGTAATTAATATGCACGGATTTTTACCAAAAATTAATCAAATCTGCGCATATGTTCAGAGCATCTATGTACCAAGTTTCATCAAAATCCAATGAGTGGTTCTTTAGATATCAGTGGAACAGTCATAGAACAGCTAAAAATTAGCTAATTATCATGCAAATTAGGTAATTAACGAGCATGGATTTTTACCAAAACCTAATCAAATCTGCGCATTGGCCCAGAGCATCTATGCACCAAGTTTCATCAAAAACTGATGTATGGTTCTTGAGATAGCAGTGGAACAGTCGGACACACATACACACACACACACACATACATTGTACATACACACATACACACATACACACACACATACAGACACACTAACTGCAAAGACTCCCATTTTGTGCTTCGCACATGGGAGTCAAAAAGTAAGAAAAATTAGAGTAGATTAGCATTTAATTACAATATTAGTTGCATGTCACTACAGTCGTTGCTCAGAAGAATTACAGACTCGGAAAAGTTGAATGAGGTTTGACCTGGGTGTGACTTGTACTAATTACCACCGGTGACTCCTATACCTTCCAACCACCTAAAAAATATCTAATTAAAGCTTGGTAACTTCTCAGTTTGTACTTGTTGATCTGCACAACAGCCAAAGTCGCCATCTTTGTTTATAGGATATCCATATATCTTGCTTGGCGCGACAACTACCGCCCTTTAAGATGAACTGTCATTATTCATAACGGTGTAATAAAGATATTATTATTATTATCATTATTTATGTAAGAGCTACTAGTATATTAATGGCTCTAGCAAGACATTTATAAGAATTATAGTAGTTAGAGCAGTTTTTGAATACCGATAGTTATGAAACAATCAATAACTTTAGTGACATCTTTATTAACTATTTCTGTGTCAGGCCAAATATTCCATATTTGGGAGGACGAGACTTTACTTTCAAAATGCAGAATGGCATTTACCAGTTGAGCCTGAGTCACTGTCAACCAAACCCAGTTGAACCGAAGTAAAATGTCAACCAAACCCAGTTGAACCAAAGTAACTGTCAATCAGGCCAAGTTGAACCAAAGCCACTGTCGAACCAAAGCCACTGTTAATTAGGTCCAGTTGAACCAAAGTCACTGTCAATTAGGCCCAATTGAACCAAAGTCACTGTCAATTAAGCCCAGTTGAACCAAAGCCACTGTTAATTAGGTCCAGTTGAACCAAAGTCACTGTCAATTAGGCCCAGTTGAACCAAAGTCACTGTCAATTAGGTCCAGTTGAACCAAAGTCATTGTTAATTAGGTCCAGTTGAACCAAAGTCACTGTTAATTAGGTCCAGTTGAACCAAAGTCACTGTCAATTAGGTCCAGTTGAACCAAAGTAACTGTCAATTAAGCCCAGTTGAACCAAAGCCACTGTTAATTAGGTTCAGTTGAACCAAAGCCACTGTCAATTAGGTCCAGTTGAACCAAAGTCATTGTTAATTAGGTCCAGTTGAACCAAAGTCACTGTTAATTAGGTCCAGTTGAACCAAAGTCACTGTCAATTAGGTCCAGTTGAACCAAAGTCACTGTCAATTAGGTCCAGTTGAATCAAAGCCACTGTCAATTAGGTCCAGTTGAACCAAAGTCACTGTCAATTAGGTCCAGTTGAACCAAAGTTACTGTCAATTAGGTCCAGTTGAACCAAAGTCACTGTCAATTAGGTCCAGTTGAACCAAAGTCACTGTCAATTAGGTCCAGTTGAACCAAAGTCACTGTCAATTAGGTCCAGTTGAACCAAAGTCACTGTCAATTAGGTCCAGTTGAACCAAAGACACTGTCAATTAGGTCCAGTTGAACCAAAGCCACTGTTAATTAGGTCCAGTTGAACCAAAGTCACTGTTAATTAGGTCCAGTTGAACCAAAAGATATGTTGCATTATTTACTATTATAGTACCTGATATTTAGTTTGTATGGGTGTAAATACACAAGATAGAGATTAACTTTTTGCCACCTTTCACACAAATAAATCTGCCTATCTTGTTTCATTTTTTCAAAATTTTGTAGGCACTGGGAAATAATGTCAATTTCATCCAAAATTGAAATATAGCATCACTAATATCTAAACATTTTGCACTAAAATTTAGGTATCAACAGTTCTGAATAAAACAAAAATGGACAAGAACAATGAAGTCATCATAATTGCATTAATAATTACTATTCATGTAACTCAAATAGTATTACATAGACTTAATCTCAATGTCTCTAAAGAATAATGTAACATCAATTGTATAACAAATCCTAAAAACAGTAGTGTGGCAACATTTATAAGTAAAAGAATTTGTATGAAAACAAGCAGCCTATCGGCTGAGATAGCTCCGCTGTTAGCAATGCACATTTCAATTAAAGAACTGAAGACATCATTAGAAAATGAACAATATGAATAGTATCAAAGCAATCGGACTTACAGTTTTTAACAAGAAGTCGAAAATATCACTTTTTACCAAAAATTACAAAAATATTCACCAAAATAAATTAATTAGAGAATTGAAGATATCATCACAAAACGAACAAATCTGAGAGAGGTCCACATGTAGTACCTATATATGTAATATCAAAGCAATCGGACTTACAGTTTTCAACAAGAAGTCGAAAATATCACTTTTTACCAAAAATGACAAAAATATTCACCAAAATTAGAGAATTGAAGATATCATCACAAAATGAACAAATCTGAGAGAGGTCCACATGTAGTACCTATATATGTAATATCAAAGCAATCAGACTTGCGGTTTTTAACAAGAAGTCAAAAATATCACTTTTTACCAAAAATGACAAAAATATTCACCAAAATTAGAAAATTGAAGATATCATCACGAAATAAACAAATCTGAGAAAAGTCCACAT